TTTTAAACTGCTTTCTGTATTTTCCATTTCAAAGATGGATTTCAAAATGTGCATCTTTCTTTCAAAGATCTCCCTCCTTCTCTTAATAATAAATATTTTGAGTTACTTTCTTTTTCTTTGATATGAAAATAGTGTAAGCTCTTGTTTAATTGTTTCACATCTACTGTAAACATTATAATTGATTATAGCATTATATATCAAATGTTGCCCCCTGCAGATGGGGTAATTGTTGATCACTGGGGTAATTCCTGATCATTGTCATTTCTTTTCATAAATAGTATGAAAATAAGCAAATAAATAGTTAATTGTCTTTTCTTAAGTAACAGTTCATATTTATCAAGTGGAACGACTATAAAATATATTTTAACTCAATTTAATCACAAAATTTGTTTTTAACCGTATGCTAGACAAATGTGTTCCGATTTGTCTTACCTTGGTTCTATCTTAATTTTATGTGTGTACATTGTTGGAATAATTTTTAAGTTTGTAAATTATCCTAATATAAATATGGTGAGAAATTATAAGCCTGAAAAGGATACTAAGCTTCTAGAAAGCAAAATTAGTTCTAGTAATTAAAATTCTTATTTAGTAAATTTCTTTTAATGATTGAAAAAGAAAATTTCAGTGTGAGAGCTGCTGCCAGAGCTGTTGACATACCTTACTTAACTTTACACTCTCCCTTAATGAAGTTACAAAAATTCAGCAAAAGTAACCGATGTAGGAACTCTTTTTATATTCCAGCAGAACATGAGATAATTTTGGCTGCTTGCCTAAAATGTATGGCACAATACAAAGATTTTTGGAAAATTTAAAGTGTTAACCTTTATTTTTGCTTTTTAAGTCAATCGTTTTATTAGCTGCTTAAACATATATTTTTGGTTTATTTGTTTGATCTTAATTACCACTGTATAATTATTTTTAAACAGCCCCTTTATGATTAAAACTGGTGATCAGTAATTACCCCAGAAAGATTAGGAATTACCCCAGAAAGGATCAAGAGAAGGGGTAATTCCTGATCACTAAGAATTTAAAATATTTTAAATTCTAATTAGATTTTCAAACAAAACAAGGTAGCCTAGGACTCATTTCATATAGCCTCAAACTTCCAGCAAATATTATAATTCTATCTTGAATAGTTTTCTTACAAAATAGATGTTTGCATTTTTTGATCAGGAATTACCCCAGGTCACCCTACTTATTTTTTTAAAAGAAAGAAAATAATCGATACTTGAAAGAAATATAAAATTTAAAAAAGAATATAATTCATTAAATGTTTTTAGATTTCGATAATATCTCGATCTAATTAGATTTTTCGATCGAGATGATAGATCTTGCCCAAAAATAAAAATAATTTAGAGTTGAACTTCCAAAATAATGTGCAATATTTAGATATG